CTTCTTGAAACCTTCAACCGTCATCCCATCCCCAATTACAACGAACTGACTCTCATCTTGCACACATGCACAGCGCCTTGCACATTCCCTACATAATTTGGCTCACTTATTGCTAGAAATCATTAGAGAAAATTTTGTTTAATATTTATCAGAACCCACAGACAAGATGTTCTTGGCAGGCAGCAATCTTATCTCTTGTGATGCCTCCAATGTGAAGCACTATCCTTAGTACTCGGTAATAATGCAGGATTTGCTGAATAAATGTATCAAGCAGTTCATTTAGTTTTTGCTTTGTGCAAAAATTTGGCACTTTAAGTATAACTTATATTTTGTAAAGGGTGGATCCTTCATATTAATAAATTCCATGTATAAAGAAGAAATCTGCAAATCTTTTAAGCATTAGAAACTAAATTTAAATTCTTTGTAGACTTGGTTGTTTTCTCCTGCTAAGGAAGAATTACTTCTCAAAACAAAATTTACAATGCTGACAACTTTGCATTCTCAGTCTGCAAATAGAGAGGAACTGAATACACACTTTTGGTTTACAATGTAGTCTTAGGGAAACCAATGGAATTCTGCTGAAAGATAGAGTGGAAAACAAAACTTCTACAGAGGAGATAAATATACATCTGAAATATTTCTGGTTAATTGAAAAATAAATCACACCATTTAATATCTCTAAAAGGTACAGTTCTCTATAGAAAAACAATTTAAGGACAAAGGCATTATTTGTATGTTAATTAATATTCTCTCCCTCCCTCTCTGCCCCTCTTCCTCTCACTCTTAGACTTTCAATTAAACACATACTCTTACTGATTTAAGATAATTTGCATAGATTCTCATCAACAGAACATAACATTTTCTATTTTGAAGTTGAATATACTGTTTGCTACTCAACCAAGGAATGAGAAACAGTGTTTTATGAGTTGAGGGCTCTGTGGGAAGAAAGAGAAGGGGATGGGGTCATGTGTCTACAGCCAGAGATGGGGGTAGAAGCTATCCCTTCACTTTCTCTTGCCGTCCCATGGCTGTACTTAAAGATGTGAAATGGCAGTGGGTCCATGCCATCCTTCATATCCACCCATGTCAGGAGAGCATATTCACTGACATATTATTTTTTTCTGCAGAGGTAGTGAGAAGTGACACATTTCATAGAGGTGCCATCATGAGAACAGTGAAAACACATAATTCTGGCCAGGCATCTCTCAGTTGAAAAAACTGTCCAAATATACAGCTCTGAGATTGGTATTTGTGTAGTATTTCTTGTTAGCATAAATAAAATCTCTACCTTTCTTCTACTTATTACAGAAATATATATTTGGCTTTTTAAACTTTCTTTAAAGAAAATGTGCCATTCTTTATCCATAAAGGCATGCCATGAGAGAACATTTGCTTTGAAAAGTTTTCTTATTTCCTTTCTAAAGATCAATGAATTTGCATTTAGATACCCCAAATCATAAGCACTAAAAAATTCACACACACACACAAAATCTCAGTAACTAATACACACCATGTTTCTTTTTTATTTTTGTTTTATTTTACTCTTTACTTCCTACTAAAAATAATATTTAAGAATATTAATATAATCTAGAGCCCTCAAACTTGAAAGGAGTACTTTGATCCAAGGGGCACTGTTCCCATTTACATTTTTTCTCATTGGTCACCAGAGTGTGGTGCTTTCTGCCAATAAACAGGACACACGAAAATGAAAAAGTCTGGAATGATAAATTACCTTCAAGTAAGGCAGGGAAAATGAGGCTGCTGGGAATGATGGCGCAAGGCCAGATGGACTAAAGAGGAAAAGTATTAGGTAGAAAAGAGAATAAAACAGGGTGAGGATGGTAGAGGGAGGGGATAGAAATGCCCTTCCTCCTGAATTCCTTGGACAGAATTCCAGAGTTAAAAAACTTTACATGCTGTTACTTTATATTCAAGTAGAAGGAAAGAAATCAATCAAGAAATTTATCTGACTTGGCACAGGAGGAAGGTGCTATTTTAGAAACAGCTGTTAAACATTTCTCCTAGCTCAACCTTGTTCACTGCGAGTAACAAGTAACCAGGTTGTTTCCAGGCAGCTGGTGTCAGGGCTATAAGGCAGGTGGCAAAACTCTGCAGGTGCACTTCCTTGTCCCTATGTCCACAGGGCACTGGAAGAGTAGTGGTCAAACCAGTCAGCTGGACTCGCCTCGCTTTACTACTTACCTTGTGAAAACTTTAACCGTTTTTATTATTATTGATAATAGATGAATGAAATGCAAATGGATGGCAGTAATTCAGTAAAACCTTGCCAAGGGCTTCTCCACTGTATAAAATCCCAGCCTCTTACATGGGCTGCAGCCAACATGATCAGTCCTCTGCCCACCTCCCTCGATGTGTATCATTCTTCTCAAAGCGCTGGCATGCTACTGGTCTTCTCAGTCATCCTCAAATATGACAAACTTGTCCCCATGGCTTGTATGCATCACTTTATTGCTTTTGGAATGATCTTCCCCCATATTTTGGAAAAGCTGGCTCCTTGTGATTCAGGCTAATGTTCAAATAACCCCTGATGTTTAAGCCACGTTTAACTACCCCTCTAAATGGCCAACCTCCTAGTACATCAACTTTTTAAATATTTTCTCTACTGCACTTTTCACTATCTGGGATACTTTGTCTATGGATTTGTTTCTTTGTTCATTTTCTGTCTTTCCCATTCTCACAAGGATGGAAACCTCACGAACGCTGGGTGAATGAACAACTGATGGCACACAATCCAAGCAACTGTGGCAGCTGATAATATATGATAATATATATCTGATGTCAAAACTTAGTAACAGAGAATTTGTGTTCAGTGTTTAATGTTCACTCCACTCACTGACACAGCCTAATATACTACCAAAAAATACGGACATTCAAGAGAAAAAACGGTCTTTGATTTAAATCCTTGTTTTACCACTTATTTTTCCAGGCAACCTTAAGTTCTCCTTAAAATGCAAATGATAACGTGGAACTCACTGAGCTTTTAGATAATCCACATAACTCACCAAGCATTGCGACTTCATATGTTCTTAAAATTTGGTAGGTATGGTGGCTATCACTTTATTTTAAGTAGGAAATTATGTCTGCCTATTCTTTGCTGTTCTGGATTAATCCCTGTCACTGGAGTGGAACCCGCTGCTTCTGCCCGCCCAGCACCCTGGACCTCGCTCACTGGGACAGTCCTCTGGTCTTCTGAGGTGCGGAGCCCGCCCGAGAGGGAGCTGATAAACGCCTCCTCAGGTCCTCTGCTGGCTGTGTGGGCCAGGGGTTGGCACCTTCTCTTTTTCTTCTGAGAATGTAACAGTGGTCTGTAGTAACCATCTTTACCCCAAATGTGAAATGACCGTGCCTGAAAGCGAAGCCCACACAGAGCAAAGAAGTGCCAACAGGTGAGAGAGAAACAGTATCTTGAGGACCTATTACCCCATGATCAAGCTGTGCCTGAAGCAGCCCCTGCATACCTCTGTTACATAGTATCAGCCAACACGCTATTCTGCATTACACCAGTTTCAGTTTGGTTTCTGACACTTGTAATCTAAAGAATGCTTTCTAATAAAACAATAAAGAGTTTGTCTGCTTGTTTGTTGTAAGGTTAAGGGGAAAAAGGCTTTTTCTGAGGTCCAATTAGTAAATAAACAAATGGATGTCCAAAATGAAATGGTTTTCAGTAAAAATGTGAAAAAAGCACTAGAGTTATGAGGAAAGACTGACACCTTAGGGATAAGGCAGGCAGTAAGAGCCCCTGTGAAGAAATGGCCAGGGTTGGCTTGTAGCACTGAAAACCAAGAGCAGACTGTCCCAGAGCCACTTAGAAGTATTTGTGGTTACAGAGTAACAGGAAAAAAATCAAAGAAGAAATTAACACTTTATCCAAGATACAAGCAGGAAGGGAAGATGTTACTGGAAGTAATGAGGAAGGTAACTGTCTCCCTGAGCAAAGGAAATCTAATTCACAACAAAAAGGATATTTAGCAGGTAATCACTGACAAGGGCACCTACTTTGTACTGAGGAGTTTGTGCTTTAAAAAAATGCTTTCTCCAAGAAAGATACATTAAAATGTTTTCTTATGAGGACAGGATATCATGTAATTAATACATGTGCTATTTTCTTAAGCCACTCAAACTTCTAGGAGATCCCACTATAACATATCCCACTGATTTTTCTTCCCCTGGAAGTTGTCTACTATGTATTTAACCTCTTCTCTTTATCATCCTCAGAAATTATATAACATTAGCATAAAATTTTTAAAATACTTTTCCCTAATTATTTTTATATGAAAAAAAGTATAGGAATTAGAATATTTTGAATATTAAGCACTCAATAAGAGGACTTTATATATGTGATCTGAGAGACCAAAATAGATGCCCTTTTATCAACTAATATGGACCGTAAGGTTAAAGAAACAAAGTTATGTATGGGTCAAGGGTTCAGGGCTGAGCTGTCATAGCAAATTTCTAAATTTATTTTCTTAATAAAGATTCTTAACTTTCCCCATAGCTGGTGTCCATAAGGACGCTTAACTTTCTCCATAGATAACATCACCTTTTGGAAACCTAAAGGTTCTCTTTAAGGTATGTTCCAGGTCACGCATTCCAGTGGATTTACTGGCCCACCCAGACCAGCAGCCCATGCCAAGAAACCGACTCAACTGGAATTGTGGCTCCAGGGACTGGAGCAACACAGGAAGATGATTTCCACAACCCTATAATTCTGCCCTAATGAACAAACTTAACTGCCCATCCCTTGCCTGCTAAACTATGCTTAAAAACCCTGTTTCCCAAATTCTTAGGGAGGCAGATTTGAGAAATTTCACCTGTCTCCCCACTTGGTGCTCTGCAGAATAAAACTCTTTCTCCATTGCAATCCCGACTGCATCCGTACGCTGGCTCTTCTCCATGCAGCAGGCGACACAACCCGGTTGGGCAGCAACAAATAGCGACTTATTTAACAAACAAAAACAAAAACTTGGACCATTACATACCTGAGCTTCTGGTTGTATTGTTTGACCTTTTCCAGTGAGGCTGCATTTATCTGGGCTTGAAATTCTTCCACAGAAACATTGTCTCTGTAATAATATCCTTCCATGCTCTCCAGTGCTGCATAAGTAAATATATTTTACAAGCAATTTATAACTCAATTTCTCCATATGTAGTATAATTTTATTGATTATTAGTAAATGTGCCCAACAGCACCAAGTATAAACATATATGCAAGGAACTATATTTAATTAGTCCAAAAATGAATGAAAATCATTCTGTTCTCAAAATAAATATCAAACATTTGGTGATTTTTATGTGAAGTAGGCAAAGAAAATTTCTAGTTTAAATTGTCCTCTATTTTTAAAACATTTTGTGTATGTTGTAAGAGACCAAAATATGCCACCCCAAAATATAACTGTAGGAGACCAGAATATACCACCCCGAAATATGCCTCATTGGCATAAGGATTATTTTGATCTGGTTATTTTGAGAAACTGCAGACACAGGAAAAACTCTGAAATCAGAGTAGATGTTACCGTTTTGTAAAGGAAAATCTACATCTATAAAGGAAATCTCCATTTTTAAGAGTGTCTCCCATTCAGCACCAGGAAGAAAAGGAAGATTAAATCCCAAGAGACTCTTATTTCCACAACAAATCTTACACATATTTTAAGGTGCTTTCCTGGTCACCTCCCCATAACTCAGCCTTCCCCACATCTTTTCTTTCTTGGTTTCAGTGGACCATGGTGGTAGGTAAGCCTAAATCCAAAGCCACCTTTAAGATTTACTCACTTCTCCCTGAGTATCTTCCATGTAGCCAAGAGGCATACATGCTATTAAACTTCTGTTTGTTTTGCTCTTGTTAATCTGTCTTTTGTTATAGAAGTCCATCACAACTAAGCACTATGAAGGGTAGAGAGAAAATTATTTTTCCTCGCCTACAACATTCTTTGTGAAGCTAAATTCAAACTTCATAATATATTATTTATATATACATACACATGCATTACCTGTCACACATATGCATACATATTCAGAACATATGTATGAGAGGCAGAACTGTGCATTAAAATATGTCAGAGTAAATAGAAATCATCACTCTCCATGTCTATTCACTTTCTCTTATAGCTTCGATCAAATTAAATTAAGAAATAGTAGCATAATAAATTAACAAGTATAGATAAAGTGAAATCATAGAAAACCACCTCCACTCAAATGGTCAGATAATTTAGTTAAAAATAAATTAACATATATGTAACATTCTACTAATTTTAAATGCCTTTTGATTAATATAGATTTCCTTTTTTACTAACGTTTTTGATTGTTTTTCTTTTAAACTTTATGAGGTGGTATTTAAAAAAATTTTGGAGAGAAAATAAATCATATGAAAGGGCTGAGAAATGTAAGATTTTCTATGGAGAGGTTGCCAGCAGAAGGATTGGCAATGGGTTCAATTTAGAAATGTAAATTATTTTCCCTTGGAATGCATTGTCCCTTATGAGCCTTGATTTTTAACTACTGAAACTGACAAAAATTAATCTTCTTTCAAAACTGCTAAATGCAATAGTTTCTAAATTAAATAACAATATTTCTTCAAAGTGAGAGAAACCATTATCACCATTTTTAGTGGCAAAAATAGGAAAGTTACTGTTAATTTTAGCTGTGTTGCATTGTGTTTCCCCAACATTAAGACAGGGTCTTATATTTATTTTTCCTCAAGAAGACACCCTAGGGCTTATTTTCAGAGGATGTGTTATTTTTCCCTGAAAGTCTCAGCTTGCAGCACACACAGGATGGCCGGGACCTGACAGGGGGAGCCGATCTTGTTGGTGAGGCTGCCCGCACCTTTCCGGTCACCTCTGGGATAGTAGCTGTCGCGATGGGGCAGATGAGAAGGACTGCTCATTTTTTTTTACCGCTCCGTGACGAAATGCATGGGTTGTGCAGATACGCTGCATATCCACACCCATCACTAGGTCTTATTTTCGGGATAGGGCTTATATTGTGCAAATGCTTAGAAATCCTGCTAGGGCTTATTTTATGGGTAGGTCTTATTTTTGGGGAAACACGGTATTTTCTAAACTAGTAAAAGTTCTACAGCACTGATGAAAATAAATTTGTAAAGAGTATTGCTAAATTTGAACTTTTTAACAATGAAAATTTAAAAAATTGGTTCATAAATGAAGAAAGCAATTGTGGAATATTAAAGAGGAAGTATTACATTTACTTCAGTACAAAAAAATCAAATTTATGGGCTTGTTTCAAAGATTTTTTATTTGTTTATTCTGTGAACTAAAATAAAATCTTAAGCTCCCCCAGCTGATTGAATGGATCCCCTCTTGGTTAGAGGGACTCCAGGAATACCCTAAAACTGAGTTGTTGGCCATGAGAAGGGACATGTCCCCTCCCTTGTTGGAGATATCCTTTGTAACTCATTAACAAGTTCTAGGGCAATATAGGGCAGGGTTAGAACCACACCTGCAGGTCCTCAGATCACTTAAGTCTGGGCGTATGTCCAGTATACGTCCGGTGGCTTTTCTCTGATTAACAGACTTCCTTATCTTAACTTAAAACATCCCAAGCCTTTAGTCAAAATTCCATTTCTTTAACCAATCACAAATCAAAGAATCTTTAAACCCACCTATAACCTGTAATGCCCTGCTTCGAGATACCCTGCCTTTTGGGGCCAAACCAATGTACACCTTCTACGTATTGATTTATGTATGACTTTATGTATAATTCCTATTTCCCTGAAATGTATAAAACCAAACTGTAAACCATGGCTCTCTGGGCCATGACTGCACATAATCAGCTCAGAATACATTTCTTAAAATTATTTTATGGAGTTTGGGTTCATTTCCATTGACAATTCCTTATGGCTTCTAGGAAGGAACCCAGGGAATTTCACCCTAAAATGTGACACTTTGGCATGCTGATTATTTTTCTTAAAAGGCCCTGGCCAGTCAGCAGATTCTGAAAGAGGCTTTTCTATGATATTCCCTTATGTACCTCAAGACTAGACCTGCCAAAGAGAACATAATTGCCTTCCCTCCTCTTTCCTCCCTGAAATCCAATTATCTTTTCTAAAGAAGAAGACTGAGAAATGCAACCACACATAGACTTTTTCACGAGAGGATTGTCTCTCCAGCTCATTCAAATTCCAAGAAAATCATTTACAAGTCAATTTCTGTCTCTTGGGTGCATTCATTCTCTCTAATAATCATTTACTATCCCCTACATTCCCCATCGCCCCTCCCCTATGAAGGAGGGTACATGAGCATCTGGACCTCATTGGGTTGTTGGGCAATCACTCTCCTATAGTATCCCCCCATGCACAGTAAATAATTTTGTGTGCCTTTTTCTCCTATTAATCTGCCTACTTGAAGTTCATTTTCAGCAAACCTTCAAAGGGCAAAGGGGAAGCTTTCTTTCCTAGACCCTACATCTGCATTAATTAGAATAGTTACAACTGGCTCAGCAAACTTCTGGTTCTGAATACACAGAGGGAATAAAAGAAAAGTCTCCCTGATAAGACAATCCTCAAATAAATGCCACATTTACCTCCATTATCAAGCTGTTATTTGTGAAAGGCAAATATCTCAGGAGGATTCAGTCTGCCAATAGTCATACTTCAATGGGAATTACTCTTACTAGTTGGAAAGCTGATGAAAGCCCTTGCACTAGAGTAAAACCCCAGTTTCTGCTCCTTGGTAGCTGTGTGACTTTGGGCAAGCTAATTAATATCTGGGATCCTCAGGCTCTGCATTTTAGACACGGAAAATAAGAATACCTACTAATTATGGTCGATGAGAAAAGAATTTAATTAAATAAGAGTATTAAGACAGCCTGTGACTATTCATATTTATTGAATGAGGATTAAGTACTAGACAACACGCCAAATGCTCTACAGGCATTATCTAGTTCTCAATTTCCATGAGAATTTCCATATATTGTGTATAAGTGTGTTTACCCCAACAGAATGTTTTGAGAACTAACTAAGAGAAGAGTCCATGTAAGGATGTTAGGTAGATAGTGACGGATTCCAGGTCTCCTAGGAATAAAAGTGGGTGCTGCCACGATTCGCTGCCCCGCAAATGGGCACTCAGAGAGGCTCATGGGAGCTCTGCATGTGCAGTAGGACTCAGGTCATGCACCTCCCAACTGTCCAATCCACGTGGTTTCATGGTGACCTCTGAACCGCAAGGGAGGTCCCAATCCGGGCACTATAAAACTAGACACAGACCATAACCGGTCCTTTTTGGCCCCTTCCTTTTGCTCTCCCTTTGCTGCAACGATCAGTCCAGTTATCGTTTGTAGGGTATGTATCGTGCTCTGTAATCCTACATCTTGCTCTTGCCCTATAATCCTATCTTTCTCTCCTGAATAAACCTCATTTTTATGCTTGCCTCGCTTTGGTGTGTCTGGCCATTCTTCTGCCATGAGCGCACTAAGAACTGTCACTTGATCCCATTATGACCAACATGTAGGAACGACTGTGTGATGTGTAATAATGTTTTGTGATTCTAAATGTCTAAATGACTCAAACCTGACAAGGACACTTCAATATGTGACTCGAGACCAGAAAGACCGGACAGAGAACGCTGGGACGGAGTGGGGCTGTGGGAGAGGAAAGGTGGGGAAACCACATGGATCTAATTTTCATAAAGGTCTTGATTATTCAACTTTGGCCAGAATGACTTGTCCTGTTCTGAAAGCCTGTTACAATATAATGACAATTATATAAATACAACTTAATATAATTTTAATGAATACTTCTACATTTCCATAAATTGCCATTTTCATTACATTTTTGACAATTAATTTCCAAATTAACATGGCAGTTAAAAGTCACTATTACATAAATGTTTTAAAAAATAGGAAATGTCTCTAACAATTTTGCCAAGAGTCTTAGCAAGAATTTTGTAGCACATGTATCGGGTTGTGGGGAATGAACAAAAAAAGATGAGTTCTATATTTAAAAATTAAAATTTGTATAGCAAAGAAGAGGACAACATTCCCTATTTGAGCTAAATAATTTATTTATTTATTAAAAAAGAAACCAGAAAAATAGTCTAACACATTAAATTTCTATTCTCAGTATAAGTAAGTTAAATATA